CAGATAGTGCTTCCTTCAAGAGTCTAAAGTAAGGCATCCTTGAGACCATTACAATGACCGTTGGGAGGTATATCAGTTTACTGTTAGTCGGAGTACCTCCAATAAATGATAAATGAGACACATACATCAATAATACTGATAACAGAATACATTATGTATATACTCATGAGAGAACACTGAGAACATATAGGACACTTAAAAGAACATGGACACTTAAAAATTATTGATAGAAAGAGGGAGAGAAAGATACATTTAATACGTGAAGAAGAATTAAGAAATAATAACTAGTAAAAGATAATATGTACATTGTACATGTAGAACATTGAAAATTATCACTTTAAATTTATCAAGAGAAAGAAAGAGAGATAAATACATTGAATAGGAATTGGGAAATACATTAAAGAAATAATACATCAGAGAAGATACATGTACTGGAATTAATGTACATGTACATGTGTCCATACCTGATAGACTACTCATACAGCCTGTCCAGGGGAGGAGATTATAATGACCACACCTAACATCACTGGGCTACAATAATAAAAAAACACAATAGCTAAAATGAAAAATGTTTTATCATGCCTATATACATGTAGATGTAGTTGTAATTGACAAGTCAGGTTGCTTGATTTCAGATTTATAAATAACTTCCTTACTGGAAAGATCATGTATAGACAGTTACATTGTGAGGAGATTATGATGAGTCTGCAGGTTGATAAATCACATGTACTGTACCTTTAACCTCATGCATAAACTTATACATGTGTAATCTCATTAACCTCCAGTTGTAATGCATACATGTACATGCAAACTGCAGTGTTGCTAAGTAAACATTGTAATTAATGTCTAGTTCTTTTCTACTTTATACTTTACTGACAGTCATTCACATTTACAGGCATCATATCTAACCTCATGGATAAACTTATACCTCCAGTTTGTATGCATACATGCTGTGTTGCTAAGTAAACTATTAAGGCAGGCCTACAATATGATAGCATTAGGCCAGCGTATTTACCTTCAATTTTTAACAAATTTTGGGACACTTGACCTTTTGAACCAAATTCTATTACAGCATCAAGACTATTTTAATATTTTAGACCTACCTTTAATTTACTTCTGTACTTTCTAGGCATTTAAATGTACACGTATACATGCATCATTATCCATCAATTTACATTGTATTATTACTGTTGTATGTACATGTACATGCAATTAATTCATGTACATGCATGTATTGGTACCTTTTCAATGAAGAATGGACGT